TTTGTTAATTTTTGTTAAAATTTTTTCATTAATTGTAACGTTTTTAAAAATACAATATTGTAAAAATTATATTTTTAAAGTTTTTCAATTTTTGATTAATATTTTAATTAAAATTATTATAATTTTTAATTTTAAAATCAATGCATAGAGAATAATGATTTATTTTTTTAAGTAGATAATTTATAAAAGCATTAAAAAAATTAAATTAAATTAAATATTATAATTAAAAAAATAAAAATTTTAAAATAATTTTATTCTACTATAGCCACGGCGTATGGCGACCAACCAGCTAGTCTACAACTATATAACAATGAAAATTATTATTCTTGTAGTCTAGACGCTTGTTGACCACAGAAAGGTTTATCGTTATCTTTACGGCAGAAGACTGACAATAGATTCATGCGTGTTGCATGTAGAGAGGCCCAATTACCACAAACTTGTTTATATTGCGGCCTGTTGACGAGCTTGTTTACATCAATCAATTCGCATTATTTCAAGTTTTACCAAGAGAGAAGGAAAGACAAGACAAGATAAAAAAATAATTTAAAAAAAAGCAAAAAAAAAAAAAAAAAAAAGGAAAAAGAACTGCATTGATTGAAACGGGTCATCCGTTACCGTATTGAATTTGTCTTTCAAAAGATTTGTGCCTTTTTATTTTGTAATTGTAAGTCATCCATTCTAAAACTTACCGTTCTTATTTTATTTTATTTTATTTAATATTGGATTAGTTTTTCCACCATCCTCACTCTTCACACATTTTATGAATATGATCTTATCATGACCAGATGGCTGGTAATCTAATAATAAAGATATCTTAAAATAAAAAATTACGAATTTAAATTTTAACACATTAGTTTTATTAAAAAATTTAAATATGTGAATTAAAAAAAAACTTATAATGGTTAAAAAAAAAAAACACAAGGCCATTACCTATAATTTGATATGGAATTGATTTTTCCACCATCTCTCCATTGTAACATTTTTTGAGGTAGTCAGTAGGAGCATGTAACACGCTTAGATCTTAAAAAGTTTGATTTGAGGTTGATGTTTGAAACTTCATCAAGCTTATGGCCACTCATTCTCAACTTTATTTTTTCTTTGAATTCATAATTTATATTTCCTCGGATATATTAACTAGTAATGTTTTCTTAAATTGAAAATCAAGACAGTGACAAAAGAAAAACACATCACAACTTAAATATGAAATATCACAATTTAAAGTTCAAACAATTTACTTAGGCAACAATTTAATAATAACCTTTTTCTCTCTTTTTTACTAAAAGTTAAGTCACAGAAAAGTAGATATTTTTTTTAAAATTCAAATTGAATAAAAAAGGGAATATCTTAAAGAAACAAAAATAATCCAATACGAGATAGAATAACAGTAGGAATATACAATAAAGATATTGTTCCACAAAAAGAAGAATCATGAAGGAAAAAAAGTAAGAAATCTAAGAAATAGCATAAGAAGCATATCTTGTCTCCCCATTTGTCACTATGCTACTCCACTTAATTAGCGATAGGAATATTGTTATGATTGCTTATTAATAATGATAAGTTATGCTATATGTATATGTGACGATTTCCGAATTGAGCCATGATTGGTGTTAGGATCGAGAGAGTGTAGGACTCATCTCAATTCAAGTAAGTCTTAAATCATAATTATCAAACTTGTAGTAGTCAAGATATCTTATCTTATCCAACTCACAATATCAAATTCTAATTCAAACCATACTTCTTAATTCCATCTTAATTTATAGTTCCACAATCAACAATCTAATTAGTCAATATCACATTCAAATTCACAATACTTATACGTATCTAACATAACAATTAATAACCTAACACAACTTCATAATATAGCAGACAGAGCTTTTAAAGTTTACAATAATCTCAAAATACAGTTCGAAGTATTATAATTAAATAAGTTGCACGATCAATGTGTTAGTTTTAAGAAAATGGTTTTGAGAGGTCAATAGAAAATCTTACAAACCCTATAAACCTAAAATAGTGAGATGTGAGCAAAACCCCTACTCAATGAGTAAATATCATGTAACATAAATAAGGAAGGGAAAATAGACAAATAGATGATAATTCAAAACATCCTTAAGATGCAATACGTATTTCTTAAAATCAAATATCTCGTTTAAATATTAAATCATATCTCATATGTCAAGTCGTTCAAACTCATAATCGAAATCTCATATCGAAACACATAGGATCACTTAAATCATATCAAGTATCGAAAATCTATACTTGAGGTGATCAAATCATATCGTATCATTGGATGCGAACAACCAAATGTTATGCCTCTCGTAGCTAGGTATACCATGTGTTGGTTGACAAATGGACTAACACTATACCTCTCCCGCTAGCTAAAGTATTTTCATATCGATAAACTTACGAGCTATGCCTTCCATAGCTAGGTATTATAAGGTAGTCAATCAAATCAAAAATCAAATGATCTCACATATATTCTAAAAATTCAAAACCAACATATTCATACACAATTAATGCTCAAAATCAAATTTGGTAATGAAGCTCAAATATAAACTCATATTCAAAATTATAAATCAAATGCTTAAATTATATGAACAAAATCATAATTAAGAATCTTAGTCAAACAAGTAATTAAATCCATAGAATTAAATCAAATCTTAAGTGAAACTCTTATTCAAAATACATTATCAAATTTTTTTCAGAATCGTATTAAATCATTTTGCTATCAAATCATTTCAAATTACATAAGTAGTCTATTTCCATCTAATTTATAATCGATGCTATTGAGACATATTTAAATCAATGATGTATGATGAAAATATCAAAAGAACTTAAAAACAAGTTATGCTATATACTATCCACTCATAGTGAAATTGGATAATCGAACGAAGTTAAGGTTGCTAAAATGGATTCACCCACTCTAAAGAATTTAATAATTCAAAATGATCAAATAATCATTAATATCACATATCAAAAAACAATTTGAAATCAAATAAATTATTCTAGAAATCGGAAAATAAGACAATTTACTAGAATGAAATTCATCAAAAAGATTCAAATTGAGGATTTATAATTAAATTCTTACTCTTTCAACCAATTCTAGAAATTAACTAACAATTATATCCCAATTTCTTTCTACAATCGTTCCTTAACGATCTAATTTACACTCTTCTATAACTAATTATCCATCTTCAAATTTCTATTCATTTTTTAACATAACTTGTCTCTACAATCCATCATCAATTTTCAATTCAAATTTTCACACAATTTATCTCTACAATTCATCAATAATCTTCAATTCAAAATTTGTCATAACTTACCTCTACAATTCATCATCTCAACTCGACTTAGAGATTTCTCAAACTCATAGTCCAATAATCAATTTCACACTCGCTATTATCTCATTTCAAGTATCAATTAACATAATTAATTGTTAACTCATTAAATCTCCAAATTCAATTCAAATCCTAATCCTAAGCTAACTCAATTTTTATCCCAACAACAAACCCAATACAAAACAACTTCAAAATCATCAATAAACACATATAATCATATTAATTTTAAGATTAAATGATAAAAATCTCTACTTTGATAAATGAGTCTTCAAACCCCAACTTCAATCCTACAACCCTCTAAGTCTCTCGATCTTTAATTTAGTTAAATTTCACTTTAATCATCTTACTTTCATGAATATCTAAGCTATTTAGGCAAGATTTTAACTTAGAAATGGACGAGAGAAATGGGAGGAAGCACAGGGAGTTTTTGGGTGGGAAAGAGAGGAGAAGAAGTGAGGTACTAAGGGACAAAATGGCTGTCCTTTTTTTCTTTTCTTTTTTTTTTTTAATTTTTTATTCTTTTTTTATTCTTTTATAGGATTGGGTACTAATTTTTATTTTATAGCAAAAATTTAGATTTTTAATTTATACTAAAACAATTATCTCTAATTAACTTATAACTATTTTTTAATCTAAAATAATATATAAATTACTAACTTAATTTTATTTATACGACATGTTATCACAGCATGTATGCATAACATAATTATAGAAAAACACATCACCCGTGGCCATGGGAACGTGCCATATTCATATGCTCTTGGATCAAATTCTCCCCATCATAAGTCCGACTTTGCATGGGTGCTGGAGAGCATTCATATTGAGTATTTGCATTGAAATTTTGCTAATTATTACCCATTTTCAACTTAATAAACTAATAAAGTTGAGTAAGATAGCATTATAGTTTTTTTTTTTTAATCAAAAGATCGTCTGATTTTGAATCATACAATTGAAAGTAACTTTACTATATTATACCATAATCAAATAAATAATAAATAAATTAAAATTATTTTGGTTCGAATTTGTTTTATTAAAAAGAAACTATCAAACAAGCAATTTCCTAAATTAACAGTGCTTGCTTGTTTGCTAGTCCCGTGATTAAAAGGGCTTCCTTTTAAACCACTATAATATAAATTCCACACATTTATGAAATAAAATGTCACGAGTTACTTAATCTCCACGTGGATAGCAAATCTCTTTGATCAAACTAGACTCAATCACGAGAAGAAAAATGGTAGGGAAATAAAGCTAGTCAATATGCTATAATTCCCTCTTTTTTGTTTGTTTTCTTTTTAATTACTATAAAGTACGTTGATCATTGATGCATTGATTTTTATTTTTCTGAAAAACCATATGACTTTTCATGTACGCAATTGTTAGATCAGCAGGCCATAACTCTCCTCAACCACTCAATTTATCGACTTCATGCACTAGTCAAATAATTTAATCACACTACAAAATTTATTTAGCTTATACAATCCAATCCCAGTTTTACCCCTAGAGAAGTACTTTATTATTATGTTTTTTTTTTTTTTTTCGTTTACGAAAGAAGTAAATTAATTAAACTTGTATGTACGTCTTCACTTGCTTGTACGCTCTGGTATATAAATAAAGACCTTCATACGTTACCTATTGTCATCTTGGGAGACAGCACCACCAGGAAATATGGAGGGTCGTCTAAACGGGTCCGGCACTACCCAAGCCGTCACCGCTGGTGTCCCCCCTCGTCTTCACACGGTTAAGCCCATGGGCATAACAATTTTCAACCGTGTATTTGCAACAATTTATGCTCTTGCCATTTTAGCTCTACTCTATTACCATGCAAAAACACTCTTCTACTCCACAACTTTAGTCTCTTGCTCTATAACCCTCGCCTTGTTAGTCTCCGACCTTGTCCTTACATTCATGTGGATCAACACACAGACTTTTCGCATGCGTCCAGTCTATCGTAAACAATTCCTTGAAAACGTCGAAAAAGTCATGAAAAGAAGTGATTTTCCAGCTTTGGATGTGTTTATATGCACTGCTGATCCATACAAGGAGCCACCAATAGGTGTAGTGAATACGGCTTTATCAGTTATGGCTTATGACTATCCAACAGAGAAGATTTCAGTGTATGTATCTGATGATGGAGGCTCAACCTTGACTCTCTTTGCTTTCTTGGAGGCTGCTAAGTTCGCTACCCACTGGTTACCATTTTGCAAGAAGAATAATATACTAGAGAGGAGCCCTGAGGCATATTTTGAATTAACTCACCACAGATATACCTCCGAGGCTGAAAAGATTAAGGTAATATACTACAAAATGACGTTTTTATTCATAATAAATAACAACGTTTCTACATATATGTGAGATTTTTTTGTTCATTACGTACGTATTGTTTTTAGTCATGTTCAATCATCATTTTTTCGAGGTCCTCCTGTGTATAGATGTATCCATACTCCATAGTGCTAGGGTCTTCTATTTTCTATTTTTTTCTTCAAATATAAATATAGTAAGAGGTGAGCTCTCTTAGAGAGAAGAAGTTATGAAAATAAACAAAGACCAAGGTGCACCACTCAAACAGCTAATAAAACGAGGAGAAGCAAGAATTCTCAAAACCATCACAAATTAAGCGTAGTAATTGATTTGTTTTTCGTTTCATAACGAGATCTAATGAATCTAGAGATGCAAAATAAAAATCTAAAGTTTTAACTAGTGTTGCCCTCTTTTCATCATGTTTAGGTTGATAAATTTTATGTTACTAAACAATTGGACAGGTAATAAGGAGTAGCCCTCCTTTAAATTAGCCCGTTTATCTGCCGTTTTCCAATACAGCCCCTCCATTCAAGGATGTACCAGTCAGGCTACTTTTTTTATCCTGACAGCTTGATTCCACAGTGTTACTCTTATTCCCAATAATTTAAAATTTTCCAACATTACTTCTATAGTTTTGAGTAAATTCTTTGAGATATGTATTATAAAACTATTTAGCAATTTAAGAGTACGAAGATTTGACGAAAACCCTCGTTTATGATTAAAAGAAAATTTCATAAATGTTCTTTTTTATCTAATATATATAGTATTTGTACTATTTAAAAAAAAAAGTTAAATAAATAAATTACTTGGTACATTGACGCAATTTTTTATAAGGTGGGTTGTCTACGCAAGGATTAGTAGGATCTGGCTCGGTTAGTTTTAGATAGTAAAAATACTTTAATTACTGCCTGTGAACAACCAAAAAAGAAAAAGAAAAGCAAAGGCTTTAATAGGAGCTGGAATTATCTGATTAATTATAAATAATTTATCATTCTCTTGGTTTCATGAATATGTAATAGGTGATGTATGAAAATATTAAAGTCAAGATAGAGCATGCTCTTGAGAGAGGAAAAGTTGATGATCAGTACATCACTAGGGACCGAGAACGAGAGGCTTTCAACAAGTGGACTGATAACTTCACACGACAAGACCATCCTGCTGTTATTCAGGTTTGCATTTTCCATCACAGCTGCTAATTAGTGCTTTTCTGAGGGACAAATGTATACAAAGACACGCATTATCATGGGAGTTGTTATAAATTATCTCATACGTACAGGAAAATAAAAAAAATTATCTCCGTAATGTTATTGGTTTGATAGACATGAATTAGTTCCATACTAGGCTTTGTATATTGTTGTTCTTTGTTAAAGAATTTGGAAAATTGGTTGTGGGAGTTGGAAAAGGTCGAGTCTTTTATACATTTTGGAGTATCGTATTTAACAAATGATGTACCTGTCGATGTTTGTATGATGTGCCGTTTGAGTTTAGGTTTTAGTTACTGGCTTTCCTGAGTTAGATATGAATTTGTAGGAGATTTAAAGAAAAGATAAAAAGAGAGAGTTCAAGAGGTAGAAAGAGGGTAAAAGAATGACAGAAATATAATTAGAAAAGAAAGAAGAAGCATAAGTTACATTAAAAAAAATAAAATATACCAAATACTGTTACATGAACAACGAAAAAAACAATGACATTGAATCTAATTCTATAATAAAAAAAAAAAACAATAAAAATCCCTTGTGTTTTAGAGTTTTTGTAATATAATGAATTATTTTATAGTTCGAGACATATATCCACACCATGACATATTTCTTTGAACTATGAGCAGGTTTTGCTAGACGCTAGCAAGGACAAAGACGTCGCTGGTTATTGGATGCCAAACCTCATCTACGTCTCTAGAGGAAAAAGCAAGGCTTTACCTCACCACTTCAAAGCCGGTGCCCTCAATGCCTTAGTAAGTGAATATATGCCCCGCAACAATCATAAAACCTTTAAGTGCAATAATTGTTTTTTTTAATATATATATCAAGATTAAACCGTTCGGTAATTGTTCATAAATTAGACCATCTACGCATCTTTAATTTTAATTAGTGCATACTGTGCATACCAAGGTTTGTCTCTGTTTCTCAGTAGTTTAATGCACATTTCTCTTATTGTTGCTGTAGCTACGAGTATCAAGCTGCATGACCAACGCACCGATAATCTTGACTCTAGATTGTGACTTCTGCTCGAATGATCCACAAACACTTCTACGTGCAATGTGTTATTTATGCGATCCAGCAATTCGGTCCACGTTAGCATATGTTCAATTTCCTCAAATATATCGTGGAATCAACAAAAATGACATCTATTGTGGAGAATATAAGCGTTTGTTTGTTATTAATCCTATGGGAATGGATGGAACAGAGGGCCCTAATTATGTTGGAACTGGATGTTTCTTTCTTCGGCGAGCTTTCTTTGGAAGTCCATCAAGCCTAATCTCACCAGAAATTCCTGAACTATCCCCAGCACATGTCGTAGACAAGCCTATCCAATCACAGTCAATTTTGGCAATGGCACATCAAGGAGCAAATAGCAATTATGAGAACCAAACCAACTGGGGCTCTAAGGTATGCCATGATTGATGTTCTAAGATTTTCAAAGTTGAGTTTTTATTTATTTTCTTTTTACTCAATTTTGAAAATGATATGATTTAAAAAACTGTACATATGCTGCCAATGCTAAAAATGAATGGACGTGCTAAATTATTCAAATACGTGAAAATTATTTCGAAGACACCTAACCCTGTTTAAACTGAGAAAACCCCTTTGCATATTTGACTTTGTTCATTATGTTATGTTCATGGTAGTATAACTAGTTTTAAAATATGCAGATTGGATTCAGATATGGATCGTTGGTAGAGGATTATTACACGGGTTTTAGGTTGCAGTGCGAGGGGTGGAAAGGCATATTTTGTCATCCTGATAGGCCTGCGTTTTTTGGCGATGTTCCTATCAACTTGACTGATGCTCTGAATCAACAAAAGAGATGGTCAATTGGACTTCTTGAGGTGGGCTTCTCGAAGCATAGCCCGGCAACCTTCGGTGTTAGATCCAAGGGTATTTTGATGGGGCTTGGTTATGCACAATTAGCATTTTGGGCCATTTGGTCAATTCCAATCACTACCTATGCTTTCCTTCCCCAGCTAGCCCTTCTTAACAAAGTTTATATATTCCCGAAGGTATGCTATTTTCTTCGTCTAAAATAAAACAATATCCGAGCAAGAGTTTCTTTGTTGAATTTCTATAGAAATTGAACTGCTAATTGTTATAGTTAATTAATAAACCTATAATCTTCTAATGTTATCAACTATACAATGGTTTTATTATCATTTAAGAATTATAAGAGTTGATTTTCTAACATCAAATTAAGATGGTTTCTATAGAAGTGAGCATTGTTAAGTTTATGATAACATCTGAAACATTGGCCGTACTTGTAGGTTTCAGAGCCATGGTTTTTCTTGTATGCCTTTCTTTTCTTGGGGGCCTATGGACAAGACTGTCTTGATTTTGTCTTAGCCGGTGGGTCAGTCCAGAGATGGTGGAATGATCAACGATTCTGGCACATAAGAGGAGTGACATGTTATTTATTTGGTTCTATGGAGTTTTTTCTTAAATTCTTAGGAATTTCAGCATTTGGCTTTACCGTGACAAGCAAAGTACTTGATGATGAACAGAGTAAACGATATGAACAAGGGATGTTTGAGTTTGGGGTACATTCGCCCATGTTTGTGACCCTAACAATGGCAGCCATAATTAATTTAATCTCATTAGTCCAAGGACTTATTGAAGTTTACAGAGGAGACAACTTGGAGGAACTATTTGTGCAGTTGTTCATATCTGGTTTTGCTGTGGTGAATTCTTGGCCAATTTATGAAGCTATCGCTTTGAGAAATGATAAGGGGAAAATGCCCACCAAAACCACCATTATGGCAACACTTCTTGCAGGTGCATTATATATAACAGCTTCTTCATTTTCAGGTAAGAATTAACATGAGGGGTTCTGGGTTGTACTCGATTAAATGTTAGTTGAGGCAGATAGCATAGATTTTGTTGTTTATTTATTATCACTGGATTAGTGTTAATAAGTTCAGCTTCCCACTATCGTTCCCTAATGATATAACATGTTACTCAATGGATACCCGCATTATGCTGCGGGTAGATAATAGTTATATACGGAGAGTTAACGATTCGTAGATGTAATGTAAGTATAAAGTTTTATTTTTGGTGATTAATATAAATTGAATGCGTGTATAATTAATTTCTAACGAAACTAATGACACACACACACACATATATATATTACGGATTCGAGTATATAGAATAGATAAAAAAAACCATAAAAATTGTAGAAATATATTGAAGTCAATATATTAAAATAAAAACTACAACAAAATTGGTTTTGATAAATTCTGAATAAATATATATAAAAAAGCAAATAAAACTTATGAATTTTTTGAACTCATTATTATTTAAAAAAAACATTGAGCCAAACCATCTAAAACGTACTTTTAGCGCTCTCTCTCTCTCTCTCTCTCTCTCTCTCTCTCTCTCTCTCTATATATATATATATATATATATATATATATATATATATATATATAACACTCATTTAAAAATATAAAAATAATTTATTGTATAAATTATAATAATATATTTTTTAAAAATAAAATATTGACGTTCTAAAATTTTATTTCAAAATTAATATATTAAAAAACCAAATTTATTAACAAATAAAATAAAATTTAATAAGAAACAAATAATTGAAGAAATTTGTTTTAAAATAATAAGAATAAAATAATCGGATATATATGTTAACATTAATGTCAAAGATATAATTAATATTGGTTCAAGGATATTAAAGCGACCAATAATATATATGTTTTCTTTTCCGGTGAAGGGACCAATTATATATAACCGCTTAACTCTGTATATCACTTGCTGGAGATCTAGTTATGCTATGACAATATGTATATCCTTTTAAGGGTTTCCTTTCACCTCTTGGTGATCTAATCTTAAAAGGTATCAAGATTTAAAATAATTAGCCAATTTTTTTTGTTCTATCATGAGATTGGTGGCAAGACTTTTAAAAATATAAAATAAATTATAGGAAGCAAAAAAAAAAAAAAAGAGCAAGTTCACGCCTGGTTTGTATATATATTAATTTAAAAAAAAATGAGTCAAATTAATTTTTTAACCGATTATTATTTTTTAAAAAATTAAGTAAAATTATCTAAAACACACTTTCAGCCTCTCTCTCTCTCTCTCTCTCTCTCTCTCTCTCTCTCTCTCTCTCTCTCATCGGAATTTATGTATGCAATTACGCTACTCTCATTTAAAAATCATAAAAAAAAAATCAATCATATAAATTATAATAATATATTTTAAAAAATAAAACAATCAAGTTCTAAAATTTTATTTCAAAATCCATATATAAAAAATCAAATTTATTAACAAATAAAATTATATAAAATTAAAAAATTAATTCGATGAGAATTTTAATAAGAAAAAAAATTGAAGAAATAAATTTTAAACAATAAAAATAATATAATCAGATATATATGTTTAAACTAAAATTTTAAAAAAATATTATATATATTCTATTACCACAAAAATGTAAGAAAAACTAAAAAGAAAATAACAAACTTTTTTATATTTTCACACCTAATTTCATGATAAAAAATATAAAAATAAATTATTAGAAGGAAAAAAAAAAAAGAAGGCAAACGCTGGTTGAGACTACTTGTGTAGGCACTGCTTGAGCCGGCTTCTCCGAGCCCGCCCTATAAAAAAAGAAAAAAAAATGCTTCTCCAGGCCAACCTTTAAATAAATAAAAAAAACATTAGTAAAATGAGCCGGCCAGTGCTGGAGCTCGCTTCTCCATGCCAACACTAAATAAATAAATAAAACGCTACGGTAGATGAATAGGAAAAACCTTAGTTCTTGTATTTTTTTTTAGAATAATTATAATATCCGAAACACACTTCTAGCTCTCTCTTTCTCATCGGAATTTATACATGCAACATCATTTTCGTTGAAAAATCATAAAAATAATCAATCATATAAATTATAATAATATATTTTAAAACAATAAAACAATCGAGTTCTAAAATTTTATTTCAAAAGTCATGTATAAAAAAAATCAAATTTATTAACAAATAAAATCATATAAAATTTAAAAAATAATTTGATTAGAATTTTAATAAGAAACAAACAATTGAAGAAATAAATTTTAAATAATAAAAACAATATAATCAGATATATATATTCAAACTAAAATTTTAAAAAATATCATATATATTATATTACTTGTCAAACTATATGTAAAAAAAAAAATAGCGATCTTTTTTAATATTTTCACAACTAATTTCATGATAAAAAAAATTATTTATATAGAAGGGGAACAATCTGTCATCCGATATTTAAATAAATCATTTATTAATAAATATTATATTATTATAACAATATCTTTAAAATAATATTTAACTAATACAATGTAATATTAATTTAATTATATTGTATAATTATCAAATATATTATATTACTAAAATACTTATCAATTTTTATATATATTCAAATTCGTAAAATAATATATCAATATATTATTTCTATCATAATATAAAATAATAAAAAAATTATTATATTGTATAATAAATACAATATTCACAATCAAAATACAAATAATTATTTGATATTTTTTGTAAAGTATAATGATAATATATTATAATTATTAACTATAAATAATTTTATTATTTAAACAAAATATATTTCTAATAAATAAGGACCTAAATAATATATTTGACCATATAATAATAGTCCTACAAATATAGAAACTAAAAAAAAAAAAATCAGGCCGGACGTTAAAAAAAAAAAAGCACTCGCATAAATATAATATTCACAATTAAAATACAAATAAATATTTTATAATATTTTTTGATTTTTTTTGTAAAATATAATGATAATGTATTATAATTATTAACTATAAATAATTTTATTATTTTAAAAAAATATATTTCTAATAAATAATGACCTAAATAATATATTTGACCATATAATAATAGTCTTACAAATATAGAAACTAAAAAAAAAAGAGGCCGGACGTTTAAAACAAAAAAAAAAAACAAAAACAAAAAAAAAACTACTATTTTTTTATAAAATATAATGATAATATATTATAATTATTAACTATAATAATAGTCCTACAAATATTTTAATAGTTGGGAAAGAGGATAAATTAGTCAATAAATTATATTACCTCCAAGGCAACGAAGGTTGCAGAGTCTATTCATTGGAGAATGGAAATCGATGCATAAGTGAAGAAGGTAATATATATAGTTGGATTTGAAAAAATGGATGGCGTTAAAAAAAAAAGCAAAGGAACTGCTACAATAAACGGAAACGGCCAAAATGATAAAAAAATTAGTTTTCAAACCAAAGGGACTAATTAATTTATTCCCTAAAGAATTATTTTTTTCTATTTCTTAAAAGAAAAAAGAAAAAATATTAAAATGGTGAAAGAAAAAATAAAAATAGTAAAATGGTGAAAATGATAAAAAATATATATATATATATATATATATATATATATATATATAGTTTTCAAATCAAAGGGACTAATTAATTTATCTCTCAAAGAATGAGGGACCAAGATATCAAAAAAAAAATGCATGAATAGAGACTTTGAGTGTGTAGCTACAGTGAATAAATAGTTATACCCTCACTTCTTTTAGTTTTTTTTTTTTTTATAATGAGTGAATCTTGATCATTCAGTTTAAATAGATAGCTACGATTTAATTGAGTGCAACTTTTTTTACGGAATCTTATTGTGGCATATTCCATTGCTTTCTTCTCTATTTATTCTCTATCAATACATTTCCTGCGTAAAATCTTTCTGAAAAAACAAAGAAAATAGGTGCAAATGAATGAGCTAGGTGTGCAATCTATGAAAACTCCTCGTCTATTGTGTTATAAAGTAAGTTCAACATACTTAAGGGCAAATCCAATTTTTCATGCCAGAACCAAGCAGGGACAGGTTTGAATTCTAAGGCGCAAGCTGAGATTCCTTCCATAAAGTAGCTGTTAGACATAGTTTGGGAGTAACTAACTCCTGTGCGTAAGTTTTCCAACAAGTTAAGAACTCTTTGTTCGTGAAACAAAAGTTTGGTAATTTCTCACATGCCGATGCCGATGCCAAATTTGTTGGGATTGTTTCCTGAAATAGGCCCAAAAAATGTTGAATACAAGCACATAAAATCCCAATAAATTTTGGCAATTGGCATATTAGGCGAACCAATGGGATGTGGGCTGGGGTACGATTTTAATGATTGTTTTATTATTATTATTATTATTATTTTGTCTAATAGTATTTTATACCAAAATATGCATATGGGAAACAGATAAAGGTCATTGATTGATTTTCAAATTATTTTATAATTATTAATGTATAATATCAAATTTTGATTGTAAAAAATAAGTGACCGAAAATTAACTTGATTATAGAAATAAGTTACAGAAAAGCTAAAAAATTTGTTGAGATCGATTTCGGAAATAGGCCCAAAAAATATTGTATACAAGCCCATAAAATCTCAATATATTTTGGCAATTGGCACATTAGGAGAACCAATGGGATGTAGGCTGGGGTACGATTTTAATGATTGTTATTATTATTATTATTATTATTTCTGATAGTATTTTATACTAAAGTATGCATATGGGAAACAAATAAAGGTCATTAATTGATTTTCAAATTATTTTATAATTTTTAATGTATAATATCAGATTTTTATTGTCAAAAATAAGTGACAGAAAATCAACTTGATTATAGAAATAAGTTACAGAAAAGCTAAAAAATTTTAAAGAATCAGGTTTTAATACCATTATAGACCTTAAATAAATCTTCAATTAATTGTTTACTTGCTGTTAAGTAATGAATCACATAGGACTAAATAAGATGATTTTTGTATTTATATTAACAAAGTTTCGATTGAATTA